CGCAGCCCCTCAGGGGTGCTGGTGGGGGACGTGGCCAACCTGCTCTACCGCTTCGCCCTGGAAGGTAGGGGGGTCCTACCCCTCACCCCTGCCCAGCTCCTCCCTTCCCCGCGGGGGTCTGGATGAGGCCTTTCCCCCCAGGGATCTCCTATATCCTCTTCGAGACCCGCATCGGGTGCCTGAAGCAGCAGGTCCCTGCCGAGACCCAGCGCTTCATTGACTCCATCAACCTCATGTTCAAGAACTCCATCTTTGCCACCGTCCTGCCCCGATGGAGCCGCAAGGTGCTGCCCTTCTGGGACCGCTACCTGGACAGCTGGGACACCATCTTCGCCTTCGGTGAGCGGTGACAACAGGGACCCTGCACAGTGGGGTCGGACTCCCTAAGAACCCTCAAAAGTGGGGCAGTCCCTGGCCACATGTCCTTTCAGCTGCCCTCACTTGGTCAGCGATGGGCCCTGCTCTTTGTCCCTGCAGGCAAGACCCTGATTGACCGAAAGATGGAGGAGCTGGAAGGGCAGGTGGAGCGGGGCAAGGAGGTGTCCGGCTACCTGAGCTACCTGCTGGCCAGTGGCAGGCTCAGCCTGGATGAGGTCTATGGCATTGCTGGCTGGCGTGGACACGGTGAGAGCCGGGCAGCTGCCGCCGGGGGCTCCCCGCTGAGCTCCGTGCTGGGGGCAGGCCGCAGGGCCATGTTCCCCAGCCCCTACAAGCTCTGGGCTGGTGGCTCGGGGTCTGGCACCCCACAGGTGCAAACCCTCAGGGATATGTCAGCAAGACCCTGTCCTCTGCCCCGCTCCCTGCCCCAGGGCTCGCTGCACCTCACCCCTGCCTTTCCTGCATATCGGAGCGGGGGGCTTTCTGGTGCCACATTTGGCACAGGGCTGCTCGGGTACCAGCCCCGTCTCCCTTGCTCCTCTCGGTGCTCCACTCCCCCAGACCTCCAACACGCTGTCCTGGGCCCTGTACCATCTCTCCCGGGACCCGGGCATCCAGGAGACCCTGTACCAGGAGCTGAAAGCTGTCGTGCCTGACACCCGGTTCCCCGGTGCTGAGGACATCCCCAAGATGCCGATGCTTCGGGCCGTTATCAAGGAGACGCTGAGGTACAGCCTGGCCTTGCCCCTGCCCCAGAGTTCCAGTCGCGGGCCCCTTCCCCGGGGCAGTCCCTTCTTGCCCCCAGGCAGGATGTGGAGCTGGATTTCCATCCTTCAGGGCTATGCCCATCCTCCCTGGGGAGGAGAATGGAGCTGCTGAGCAGTGGAAGATGCTTCCCCTTTTCCTACCTGTGACTGTCTCCCTCTGGGGTCCACAGATGGGTCCTGCTGCCCCCCTAACTCTCTCTGTATCCCAGGGTCTATCCCGTGGTGCCCACCAACGCCAGGGTCTTCTATGAGAAGGACATTGTCATTGGAGACTACCTCTTCCCCAAGAACGTGAGTGGGGGCCATGCTGCAAGGACCCCTCTGCACATGGTGGGACTGGGTGGGGGGTCATTAAGACACACACCCCATACACCCCCAACTTCTTGCCCTGCAGACCCTCTTCGTCCTGGCACACTATGCGATGTCCCACGATGAGACGTACTTCCCCGAGCCCGAGCGGTTCCTTCCCCAGCGCTGGCTCCGGGGCCACGGCTCTCCCCACCCCCCCTTCAGCTCCATCCCCTTCGGCTACGGGGTCCGCGCCTGCGTTGGCCGCCGCATCGCCGAGCTGGAGATGCACCTGGCCCTCGCCAGGGTGAGCAGGGACCCCCGCCACGGGCGATGTGCCACAAGCTGGGATGGGGGCCCCTGAGGCACTGCCATCCCTCCTTCTCCCCACAGATCATCCAGGCGTTTGAGGTGCGGCCAGACCCCCGTGGCGTGGAGGTGACGTCCGTGTCCCGCATAGTCCTGGTGGCCGACAAGCCCATCAACCTGGAATTCATTGCTCGCCCAGGAGCCCCGTGACTGCGTGCCAACCCCCATAACCTGGGTGCCAAGTGGGGACCCCTGCTGCCCCACGAGGAGGGGCGGGAACCCACCCCAGCACCCACACCCTGCCCCGCTTGGGCTGGGGAGCTCCCAGCCCCACTGTGGGGAAGAGAGGGGGATGAGGGATGCCCCCAAATTTCCCCTGGAGCACTAGTATCCCCCTACCTCAAATCAGCAGGAGGTTTGGGGAACTGCTGTGCCTTTCACATGCCACGAGGGGTTGTGTCCCCCCCGCCCTGTGCCCAGCTGGGCTGCACCGGGGACCCACGAGCTCTGCCAGGGCAGGGGGGATGTGGGGAGGGGGCTTGCAGCCGTTCGGTGTCTCCTTCGTCCAGTGTCCTTGTGTAGCTGCGCGTGGGTCTGTGCCTGGAGCCAGGACGTCTGACTCCTCTTTGAACAGTTAACCTTGGCCTCAGCCACTTCTCTGTGCCTCAGTTTCCCCCCTGGCTTCCAGGGGACTGTCAATTGCTGGTGGGGTTTTGGGGTTTGCTCCTGATCCCAAAGGACGGAGCCAGCCCTGATCCCATGCAAGCAGAGCGATAACACAGGGTGCCCCCGGTGGTGGATGGGGAGGAAGCCTGTCACCACTCCGTGCTGGCATTGTGTCTCCTGGCAGGGCCAGCTAGCACCCGGGACCTTTCACTATCAGCCGTTATTTCACCGAGATGCTGATACAGGGTCATGGGAATGGGGGCAGGACTCACTCCCAGTGACGCAGCCAGGGGAGGATCAGCTCAGCTCCCTCCGTCCTGTCCCCAGGCAGTGACGTGGGGGGACGTATCCAGGGCCCTTGCAGGGGCCTAGAGCCGGCAGCAGCCCAGGGGTGCATCGCTGCTTGCCCAGGCTCCAGGAGGGATGGGGTATGGGTTGCCCTAACAATGAACCCCTCTCACTTTCCTGCTGCTTGGGCATCTTACCTGGACTGAGGGAAGCAGCAGGCAGAACCCTTGCTGGTACTAAGGCTGCTGTCCCGAGGCGTCCCCAAGGGGACCCGCACAGCACCACCACGGTAGAGCTATCAATGCTGCATGCCCTGCATTCCTGTCCCCCTAGCTCTACCCACATGGCAGAGGTGCCACTCTGTGCCCATGCTGCCCTCACTGCCACCGCAGGCTCGGTCCCCCAGCACTGCCAAGCAGCTGGCAACCCCTACCCAGTCCAGCTCTCCCCGGAGGAGCTGTGCCCAGCTGCAGCCGAGAAAGAAGAGGCGGTGGTTCCTGGAGCAGGCTGCTTTATTACAAGGCTGAACAGACCAGCAAATAAATAAATAAATACCCCACAAACCCACCCCAAAACATGCACAGGGTCCCCGTGCAAGTGCCTGGCCGAGCGCCAGCTCCAGTGCAGGCTGTGCCTCTGCCAGGGAGCTCCAGCCCAGCGTGACCATACAATAAAGAAGCCTGTGTGTGCAGCTGAGCCTACACTACCAGGCACCACAGCTGAAGTGCTCAAATCTGGCAGCAGGATGGGAACAGGGTGGCCAGTTGCTCAGGGCTGTGCAGGGTCATGTGGGTCCTCATGCCCAGCTGAAGACATGGCATAGCTCCCTGGCACGGTGCCTGTCGAGCATCACCATGTGCTCGCTTGTGTGAGGCATCCTGGGCCCCCTTTCCCTGCTCCCTGCCTCCCCGAGGCCGACAGGATCTGGCCCTGGACTCAAGACGAGCCTCAAGACCAGGGCAGGTGGGTGGTTCCTTCCCACGGAGAGCCTCTGGGGTCCAAGCCTCCTTCCACAGCCTCAGGGCCATGCAAGAGGCCCCCAGGTCTGATGGGACTACGGCGGCACTTCCCTGGTGTCTTCAGAGCAAGGATCGGTCGATGCCTGTGGGGCGAGAGAGCATGCAAGGTCCCCAGTGGGCACTGTCACTGGGCTGGCACCCTGTGGCACAGCCCTCTGACCCACCCTGGTCAACAGTGAGGACTTGCCTCCATCCCTGGCTTGGGTGCAAGCCCTAGGGTAGGAGAGGAAGAGGGGGCTGGCCTGGAGCAGGACCTCCCTTTGGCCTCCTGCAGCTCCTGACACAGCTACCCCCCTGGGCACCAGGGATGGGGTGAATGAAGGCACCATGATGGGGAAATGGGGATGCTCCTATGTCTGGTGTGGTTAATGCCACTCCCAGCCATCTTCTGTGTGGAGCAACTGGGCACTGCCAGGGGAGCTGGTGGACATGAGGCTGTCCTAAGCCTGTTCACCACCACCACCCCAAAAAAAGCATCATTACTTTTGGGAAGCAGCTGGGCACTGAGGCCAGCTCCACCTTCCCCAGTTCACCCCTAGATGGGTGCCACAGTGTGTGCCAGCACCGTGCCCACCCATGGCCACCAAGGACTCACCAGGTACAGGCAGCCAGGCAGTGCAGTCCCAGCACAGCCTGGGTGCCAGCCCCATTCCTGGGGCAAGCAGCTTTGGGGCCGTGGCAGCTGGGAAGGGTGGAGGGCTTTGGCCATCCATGGCCTGTGGGTCAGCCACACTGTGGTTGTGGGTAGTGGTGGGCAGCGTGGCTGGGGTGTGCAGGAGATCTATCCCCTTTGTGTCTCCTAGGAAAGGCACTGGAGGGGCTCAAATCTCAGTGGGGCTTTGAGGCAAGGTCAAAAAAAGGGCTTTTGTCTTGGGATGCATCACACCTCAAAACCTTCATCCAGACCAAAGCCCAGGGACCTGCAAAACTTGCATCCCCTGTGCTGCTTGGACAGGGCTATCTCTTGGTCTGGAGTTATCTCATTGGCTGGTGGCCCATCCTTCCTCACACATGCCATGGATTAGGACCTCAGAAGGGATGTATCCCCTGCAATCATTGTGTCCCCGCGGACAAGCAGCACCCAGGTCCTACCATCCCCACCTGGGCACCCAGCACTGCCGAACCCCAGCCCAGCCTCCTCCATCCCCTGGGGCTGGTTCAGTTGGGGTGGAGGTGGGTGGCCCAAGCAGGGAGGTGATGAGGTGCAGGTGACCCATCAGGGGAGAGGGGACAGACACGCAGTGGCAGGGGACGGCGCCTACCTGAAGTGGAGAGAAACAGAAGGTGCAAGTGGAGAAAGATGGAGCGGTGCGGGCTAAGAGTTAAGAGCATCGATACCTGCGGGAGTGAGCACAAGGGCCTGGAGGATGTCGGAGAGGGAGACGATGCCCCGCGGGTACTGGTTCTCGTCCACCAGAACAAGGCGATGGACCTATGGGCGCAGGCAGAGCGTCACAGGCAGGTCAGGCAGCAGGCAGGGGGGGCTGGCGCCGGCGCCCCAGCCGCTCACCTGCGCCTTGGCGATACGGTCAATGATGTCCTCCATGGTTTCGTGGGGGTAGCAGGTGAGGACCCCCTCCAGGCAGATGGTGCGCTGCTGCAGTGCCTCCCGCACGCTGATGTCCAGGTTGTTGTAGGTCTTCTGGGCCGCCAGGTGCTGTGGGACAGGTGGCCCCTCTCAGCACCCCAACGTGTCCTCACACCCCCTTGTGCCGGCACAGTGAGGGACACCGAGCCGTGGGGATGCACGGGGCTGATCTGCGCTGGCACGTGCGTGTCCCTGCACCGGGAGTGGGTTTGCACAGGCACAGGCGGGCGTGCAGACACGGTACTCACAATGACATCAAACCGGGAGTAGAGGCCAACCACTTGCCCTGCAAGGAGAGACAGTGAAGGGGCTGGGGAGGAGGCTCTCGCTGTGCTCCCTCCCCATGCACCCCAAGGGGCAGCCTAAGGGCCAGGAGAAGATTTTGGGTGGGAATGGGGCCGAAGCTGCTGGCGGAGGGAGATGAGGGGTCGCTGCTCCCCTCCCTAGGTACCGGCATCGTTGATGACAGGCAGGGCGGAAACACGTCGGTCCACGAAGATCTCCAGGGCGGTGTAGACGGGCGCGGTCTCGGGCACGACAGCCACGTCACGGAAGGTGCCGATGCACAGCTCCTGCACCGTTTTCTTCAGGAAGCGTGGCTTGGGGACGGTGGAGCCCTACAGCGAGGCAGGGCTGGGCTGGCACCTTCACACACCCTGGCGCCCTTGCTTGTGCCCCTACACGCCTGCCGTGTGTGTGCACACGGTGCCCTGGCACTCACAAAGATGTGGAGGAACTTGAGGATGCGCTTGTGCGTCAGGATGTGCAGGACGTTGCCCGAGATGGGCTCGATGACGGGTAAGCGGTGGATCTTGTGCTTGATCAGGGAGTAGACAGCATCGAAGAGGCTGTGGGTGATGTGGACACCGTGAGGGTTTAGGGCTGCATTCCGGGCACACACACACCCACCCCGTGGAGTGTGCTCTCCCCCAGAGGGCAGGCGCTCACCTATCACTCGGGGAGATGTAGACCAGTGGCTTGAAGGAGCCCTGCAGGTACACCTCTGCCAAGGGAGAGAGCTGGGAGATGGGATCCTCCAGCCCACTCATGCAGCCCCACACCCCAGAAGCCCACCTCCATGCCCTGTGCGACATCCCTTGTCCAGACACCCACACCACCTCCTGCTTTTTACCTCTCCAGGTCTCAATCTTGTGCTCCTCCACCTCGTAGATCTGAACCTGAGGACAGGGAGATGCCCTGGTCACAGTGGCCCGATGGGGGCTGAGGGGACTCTGGGGCACTGCCCCATTCCCTAGGCATCCCACCCCATTACCCTAAGCACAGGAATCATATCTTGTCTGTGGGGCAAAGGGGCACCAAGTGGATGCTAGGCTGGCCCAGAGCATCCCCTAGTCATGGTCTAGTGATGAAGAGGGGACCAGGAGAGGGAAGAGGGGACAAGGAGAGGTGGGGTCAACCTCTCCCTGCCCCGTGCCCTCCCCTCCGCACTCACCAGGGGCGAGCGGTAGTAGCGGTGGAGGATGTTGATGAAGTCGGTGATGGTGAGCATCCCTGCAGAGACATGTGGGGCTGGCAGCACTGCCCGGCAGGGGAAGGGGCCAGGGGCCACTGCTGCTGGCACTCACCCACAAAGCTCTGTGTCTTGCTGTCCCAGAGCGGGGCAGCACGCACCCCGTTGGCCACCAGTGCCACGAAGGCTTTTTTGATCTGCTGGCAGAGTGGGGAGTGGGTCAGGGTGTGCCCAAGCCTGCTCCCGCCCTTCCCGTCCCCACCGATCCCTCATTTCTCACCTCCAAGGAGATGTCAAAGACGACGAGCTTGCAGCTGGTGGGGATGGCGTCGTAGCAGCAGTGGCTCCTCATGAAATGCATGTAGACCTCAGCGTCAGGGCTTTGAAACTCAGTCTCTGGGCCCAGCCCCAGGATCTCATTGCCCAATGTGAAGGTGACGGGTCTTGGCCTCCTCTGCCTGTACTCTGCCTCCTCCTCTTTCTCCTTCTCCCCATCCTTCCTGAGGCACAGGGCCTCTGGGAACCCTGTAGGCAAACCCACTCCAGCACTGGCCAGTGAGCTGAGCTGCCAGGTCTCAGCACCCTCCTGCCCGGGGGAAGCAAGGGGATGCTGCAGGACAAGATGCTCCCCACAGACACACACCCCCTCCGTTCCCCACTCCAGAGGGATAGCACACAGCGCTTCAGCTCTCCAGCCTGCAAGGCACTGGGAGCTGCTGGGAAGGAGCTGAGGAGTGAGGTGACAAGGGGTACGGATAGGGTGGGCAGAGGACTGATACACTCAGTGCATGAGTGAGCCAGCCCCACCTCTTACAAATCCAGGTGCTGCCTGATACCCACCTTCCTCCTCAGGGCGGGC